GCAGTTTAGCCTCATAGGAGTAATTAAGAAATATTCTCATCGAAGCTGTCTAGGTTTTGTTGTAATAATAAATCACTAGACTAAGACTTAAGCTTTAGAATGCGAGCGCAGCGAGCACCTTCAGGTTTTTGCGGTCTTTCCGACTTTGGTATTCACAAACATGTTCAAGATTCGGTTTTTTAGATACTAAAAAATTCTCTAAAACAATAATTTAGTTTACCAGGGTCATTGACGAATGTGCTCGCTGCAGTCGCATTCTGACTGTCCTTTTATTTTCCGAGCATAAGCTAAGAAAGTATTGTAATCGAATCCGTTGGGCGACTGGATACTTTTACGTTTTCTCGACGCTTCATGGTCCGAAAAGATAGGTGCCCTGTTTCCGTCTGTCTGTCTACCATTTGTCGTTTGCATTTATTATAATATTGTTACGAAATAAACCCATACGCCGCATAGTATGACTCATCGGCCGGGCCGCGCGGCGTTCGCCAATGGAAAGCCTGGAAGCGGATGTCGCGACAGGCTCAGAAAACCCTCGAAGCGGCATTATCGATCCATCGAGAGAAACGTATAGGTTTAAATAAAGGCCACCGTCGGGAAGGATTGTGATTCAGCTAACGAATCGAGTTGAGCGAAGACAAATTAAGATTTTCACAATTACCACGAAAAATGCAGCAACAATTTTAAAATAAGTAATAAATTAATAATCATCTGACAAATATCAATCCCAGTCAGTCTTTTGATGCGTTGCATTACGTTGTACAAAAGTTGATTAAACACGTTTCAAATACAAAAAGCACAAAGAACCCTTTCACATTAAACTGGAGCTAATATACCCGTATGTGTAAGAGAATAAAATTCATAAAGCTAATCAAATAGAGCGCATGTACAAAAACGGGTGCGTTTCTGTATTTATTCATTAAATTTTGTGCCGACAAGAGCTTACCCTGACACACTGAAATATGTATTTATTTATGTAATGTAGCATCCCATTTATTTCTTGAAATCGTGTTAAAAGGAGAGGTGTTGTAAGTAATAAAAATAAAAAGACGGAATTGAAATATCTTGTTTGCATTTTATACCCTTGCTTATTTTTCGCAACACACCATGAACTGTCTTGCTTTACCCTTTATTACAACCATATTTTTGTGCGTAATTCTGCTTATAGTACATAAATTCTAATTAAACAGCTTGTTAAAAGTACTTTTAAAAAAGTTCGTGGATTTTCTTGTGTACGCCGTCAACATTTACTAACACACTTAGAAACTATCTCGAACGCAAAGACAATTTTATAAACGTCTTCGCCAATGCTCTCCAAAGGCGAAGAATGGAATCAACTTTGGATTCCGAATATCCACGTTGGTAAACCTATACAGACAATACACAATTTCCTTGGAAGTCAAATAAGAGACCAGATATCCAATTTAGAAACTATGCTCTTTATTCAAGCCGAAAATGTCGAAGCTTCCCTTATTCTATAGAAGGCATGTTTTATTCACTGTAAATAGAAATTTTATTGTTCAAAGGTTGAGTCAACGACGCTAAGCCGCATGAAATGTTCCGTTACGAAGCGCTCGGCTGAAATTTCATTCTTTGTTCTAATTCGCGGATTTTTTTCATGCATACAGAGTTGAATCCGTCTGTCTGTCGTCTGCGTCAATCCCCACCAAGACTTTGATAACGTCATCTCAAAACATTTTAAAGCTAACTAATAATTTATCATTTTTTATACATGTATTACAATTCTAAATTCGGAAAAATTGGTCTAAAGCGTTTAGACAGTACTTCCCTCGCTGTCGGAAACTTGACGACTGCATGCCTATTGTGTTTTTTTCTCATTTGTAGTGGAAATTTAAAAAAAATTGCGATGACGTCATCAGCATTTTTGCAAGGACACGTATATCAGTTGGGATAGATGTAGTGTAATACTAAGAATAAAATTATTATATTCTCAAATTTTCGGGAAAATGAATTGGGTCGTTTTGAATATTGATTTGTAATAATCAATAAAATAACGAAACAATTTACTCACGTATACGTATCAGAGGCAACTGAAAATCGTGTATGTATAAACATTCTTAATTTAAGATGACAGGCGTAACAGCATACGTGAGAGTCAAACAGAGAAACTAAACAAAACGACCATCGGTTTTATTGCTTCGACTTCCGCTTATTATATAAAACATTGGGTTTTATTTTAATTCTTGACGGTGAAATTCACAATTGGTTGATTATAAACATGTCTATTTCACATTCGCGGAACCAAGTGAGCGCATAAAACAAATGCAGGTCTGTAATGTTAAAGTCGATATAAATAAGCGTGCTACCCTTATGTTTCAACCGAGTTTTTCCTTTACCAAATTTTGTGTCTACCAAATTGGGTTGGTTGGGGTGTAATACTAATAATAAGTGTTGCCTTTAATTTAATCAATAAAATAAATTGACTTCATTAATTTTTTTGAACCACCTCTTAAGAAAATCTAAAAAATATGAATGGAATGATAAATCACAAGTACAAACTCATCATATTTTTTGCAATTTAGATAGGATTTATTCAGCAAAATTTAAGGGTGACGTCATCAACTTTTTTAGGAGGGATGAACAAATACATTTTGAACAAAAGTTTACCATGCTTATAATAACTTTAAAATATTCCCAAGATTTCAAAGCATTCGGTTTTGTAATTCCTGATTAAATCGATACAATAAATTCACGCCTTCATTAATTTTTTTGAGTCACCCTGCATATGCAAATCCAAAAATATGAATGGAATGATAAATCACAAGTACAGACTCATCATATTTTGTACATTTTAGATACGATTTATTCGGCAAATTTTCGAGCTGACGTCATCAAGTTTTTGGAGGGGATAAGCAAATATATTTTGACTAAAAATTTATTATGCTCTTTATAACCTTAAAACATCTGCAAGATTTCAAAGCATTCGGTTTTGTAGTTCCTGATTAAATCAATAAAATAAATTTACGCATTCATTAATTTTTTTGAGTCACCCTGTATATGCAAATCGAAAAAATTTGAATGGAATGATAAATCACAAGAAGAGACTAACCATATTTTGTACATTTTAGATAGGATTTATTCAGCAAAATTTTGTGGTGACGTCATAAATTTTTTAGGGGGGACGACCAAATACGTTTTGATCAAAAATTTACCATGCTTATGATAATTTTAAAATATCTTCAAGATTTCGAAGCATTCGGTTTTGTAGTTCCTGAGTAAATCAGTAAAATAAATTTACGCTTTCATTTATTTTCTTGAATCACCCTGTATATGCAAATCCAAAAAATATGAATGGAGTGATAGATCACAAGTACAGACTGATCATATTTTGTACATTTTAGATATGATTTATTCGGCAAATTTTCGAGCTGACGTCATCAAGTTTTTGGAGGGGATAAGCAAATATATTTTGACTAAACATTTATTATGCTCTTTATAACCTTAAAACATCTGCAAGATGTCAGAGCATTCCGTTTTGTAGTTCCTGATTAAATCAATAAAATATATTTACGCATTCATTAATTTTTTTGAGTCACTCTGTATATGCAAATCCAAAAATATGAATTGAGTGATAAATGACAAGTACAGGCTCATCATATTTTGTACATTTTAGATATGATTTATTCGGCAAACTTTCGAGCTGACGTCATCAAGTTTTTGGAGGGGATAAGTAAATATATTTTGACTAAACATTTATTATGCTCTTTATGACCTTAAAACATCTGCAAGATTTCAGAGCATTCGGTTTTGTAGTTCCTGATTAAATCAATAAAATATATTTACGCATTCATTAATTTTTTTGAGTCACCCTGTATATGCAAATCCAAAAAATATGAATGGAGTGATAGATCACAAGTACAGACTCATCATATTTTGTACATTTTAGATATGATTTATTCCACAAACTTTTGAGCTGACGTCATCAAGTTTTTGGAGGGGATAAGCAAATATTTTTTGACTAAAGATTTATGATGCTCTTTATAGCCTTAAAACATCTGCAACATTTCAAAGCATTCTGGTTAGCAGATTAAAAATTAAATTTCAAAATGTTGTTTTATAATTTTGATTTTTTTTCCAAAAATCTGGACGTTTCGGGTGAAAAGTCGATTCAGAGTTGTAAACTACATGTGTAGGACTATGTTATTTTATACAATTGAAAACCCATTTACTATGTACAATTTTGAAGTGACGTCATCGCATTAGTGGTGGGGATGATTAGACAAATTTTGGTTAGCGTTTTACCATCTACATGATATTCTTAAGACTCGTATAAGTACAAAATTTCACAACAATCGGTCGAGTACTTTCGGAGATTATCTGTCTAATAAAAATCCGGGACAACAGACGGACAGACGGACAGACGGACGGACAGACGGACGAACAGACGAACAGACGGACAGACAGACGGAAATGGGAGACCTATTTCTTCGTCTTCTAGGGGTCATGAAAGATCGAGAAAACGTAAAAGTAGAGAGTCGGCCGACGGACTCGATTACAATACTTCCTTTGCTTACGCTCGGGAAGTAAAAAAAGTATTATTTTCGCCAAACTCAAGTTTAACAGACCGTCTGTAAATTCTGAGATTGCTGAAGACGATAAGACACCTAAAAAATATAAATTCCACACTCCAGATAAATCCGCCGCAGACACTTCCTTCCAAAGAAACACTCCAAGACCAGGAAAACCTCAGTACGAAAAGCTCACTTACTCAACCCTGCAGCCCACCCATGCATCATTGTTTATCTCGATTGTTCCCATCTTAACCACCCCAGCCAACCCCCTTCCCATTGTTAACTTTCGCCCAATTGTCCAAGTTTGGACCGTTTCAATGTTGATTTTAATGTATGCATCAGATTTATGCAAATCCGTGTTGTTTCGTCGGCGGCGGCGGCTCTGGCGGCGCTAGAGGGTCGATCTGACGTGCATGTAATAACCCGTCCAAGACTAATTTGTTTTGCTAAACTCGACTTGTCTGGTTTCAGATACATCTTTTCGCTGGCGCTGGCCGACCTCCTGGTTATCATCACTTGCGTACCCTTCACGTCCATGCTGTATACGCTGGAGTCGTGGCCCTGGGGCGTGGTGATGTGCAAAGTTTCCGAAACTTCCAGAGACATCAGCATCGGGGTGTCTGTGTTCACGCTGACCGCCCTCTCGGCGGAGCGCTACTGTGCTATTGTCAATCCGTTGCGGCGGCTGCAAGTAAGTTGGGGAAGTTGAGGAAGAGTGGCGTCGAAACTGGTAACTTATTTTGAGATAAGTCCAGGAAATGTTAACTCGGTCATGTTGCTTTTTTTAGGAGAGATCAAAGGTGTAAGATAAAGTAAGGTGGTTTGAGGTTCTTATCTGCAAATGTTGGCACAGAGCTTTGAAGCGTTACTTCACGTCACGTCACTTCACTTGGAAACAAAAGTGCTACAACAAAACGCAGACGCGCATGAGACTAAGAGATGCAATGACAGAAGTCATTTATTATTTTACGGAAAGCTTAAAAGCAAGTGAAATTATCTTTTTTGTAGCAATGTAAAGTTGGCACGACTTTAAAGCTTCGCAGTGATGTATGACATTTTTAATCCAAATAATATTTAACGGGTTTTCTTTTCTGGTCAAACAGAAAATCTAATTAACTCTTTATAGCTTACCTCTAAAGCACGACAGCACCTATGTCAGAGCATAGTTCTTAACACAAATAGACTCGATAATTTTATGAGACGACGTCATCAACTATCTAATGTGTATGAATCAAAGTTATTCTCTTACTAATATCTAACATGAATTCTAAAATTTAATGATACCAACTTATTGTCATAGGAAAACTCAAACCTGCAAAGCTGAAAATTTGAGTAATGAATGTTATTAAAAATTTTAAGAGGCGAAGGAAATATTTTAATTGAGTCCATCGGACGAATGGGTACTTTTATCTTTTCTCGACGTTTCATGACCCTACAGTATAAAAAATAGGTCTCTGGTTTCCTGTTACCGTCGTCTCTCTGTGTTGATTTTTGTTAAACAGACAAATTGTACAGAATAATCAATTTTTTTAATCATAACGTTTATGGGGTGCCCCAGGGATCCATTCTTGGCCCTATCTTATTTCTCCTATACATTAATGATCTCCCTCAATTCATACCGTCTGCGGATATTACGCTATATGCCGATGATACCTCCTTGGGCAATGCAGCGCCATCGGCTGATCTTTCCTTGCATGTAAATAATAGGCTAAAAGTTCAGGCAGGAGACTGGTTCTGCGCTAATCGTCTGTGCTTGAACAATGATAAAACGCTTACCATGCAGTTTAGCTTAAAACGTGATAAGTATTGTCCACCTGTAACTACAAAATATCTAGGCCTGTTTATAGACTCAGAGTTACGCTGGACCAAACATGGTGACTACGTAGCCACCAAAATATCTAAAGGCATATATCTACTTCGTAACTTAAGTAACAATCTTTCATCCAAATATATCAGAATCGCTTATTTCTCATTGTTACATTGTCATTTTGACCATGGTATTCTAAACTGGGGTCATTCAACATCATTACAAAGACTTTTTAAACTCCAAAGAAGAGCTGTTAGAATTGTGGCTGGTATTGGTTACCGAGACGAAACCACATTTTACTAAACTAAAAATTTTTACCTTACCTTGTTTGTTTATATTTCGTTGCCTTGAGCATTTAATTAAAAATTTTGGGAACTATTTTCCACTAAAGTCGTTTCATCAGTATGAAACTAGAACGGATGAAATCGCCTTTAAATTATTAAGACTGAGCAAATCTAAGTCTGGCACTTCATACTATGCCATCAAGTTTTTTAATAAATTACCGAATTCCTTTAAAAAAATGACTCCTAAACTTTTCTTAATGAAAATTAAACAGCACCTCCTTGACCACGCATATTATTCCTTCGAGGAATATCTGCATAACAATTTGTTTGAAATATAAAATCTAGTCTTATTGATTTCTGTTATCAAATATATTAGTCTCATTGTTATAATGTTACATATTATTTTTTTCCCTATTAGGTACTGACTTGTGTAAACACTATTGTGTATTAACATGAATAAAGACATACATACATACATACATACATATAATAATTAAATTATAGGAGTACTAATTATGGGTTGGAACCTCAACACGCCATATTTTTGGATTTCAATTTTTTAATTAGAATTTTTTTAACTTCCTTCAAGCAGATTCAAAATTTGGCACTTTTGACTTCCACCCCTAAAGCTTTTTAGGGCTTCCTACTATTTTTTTAAAATCGGCAACAGGAAATATGATAATTTTTTGATATTTTAAAAATTTCGAAATGTAGAAAAAGAGATTTTTTGTTGAATTCGATTCCCTACAATTTTTAGGGATTCAAAAATTCGTATGATTATTCTAAATCGGCAATATGAAATGAGGGAATTTGGAAATTTGGAGTATTTTAAAAATTTGGGTTTGAAATCGAAAATTTTGAAAACCAGTCATCGTATCAACTTGGGATTATTCTCCCCAAAAAAATTCACCATTTCTGCGTAAACACGATTTTTTTGTATATTTTTGGCTTCTCAGTCTTTCGGAAGTTATAAAAGCGCCACTATGGCTCTAAAATTTTCGATGATGGTTTACAATTTTGCACTAATATCATGAACACGCCTATTTCTAGATTCAGTTCGTCGAAATCTGGCTCCCAGAATTTTTTCTGGATTTTTAAACAACTTCGTGATAGATCAATTTTTATATTTTGAAATTTTTTAACTTTCCTCAAGCACCTTGGAAATTTAGCAAAGGGATTTTTTTTCTCGATTTCGATCCCCGAAAGTTTTTTAAGGATTCAATTCTTCGAAAATTCCTACCATTTTTCCAAAATTGTCAAGATGAAATATGTTAAGTTTTAAAAATTTGACTTTGAAATCGAATATTTCGAAAACCAGTCCTTGTATAGACTTGGGATTATTCTCCCTAAAATATCTATCATTTCTGCGCAAACACGACTTTTTAAATATTTTTGGTATCTCAATTATATATTAAAAATAATAATAATAATTATAATAATATAATCCTGTACTCATGGTTTATGAATCCACCTTAATTTTTGTCACAATTGCTTTACAAATATTTTTTGGGCAATATTTTCTACGTGTTTCATATAGTAGAGAACTCGATCCTGATCATGTATTGTGTTTTTCGAAAAAACTGGATTTGTTCCATTTTATTTAAGGGATAAGGAAAGTTCTGCCCAAATAACTTTAGGCCAATTTTTTCGATTGAGCAATCACTTTTGCAGAAATTTTTTTCTGGATTTCAATACTCCTTTTCGACTTTTTTGGAATCGCCTTCGAAAATTACCCAAAGCATTTTTTTTCTATGTTTTTTTAGATAACTTTTCCAAAGGTCAATTTTTCAATATCTCCCTTTATGATTTTTTTTCATTTTCCCGAGCACCTTCTAAAATTAGACAAAGATCTATTTTTGTTGATTTCGACATTCAGAAGTTTTTTCGGTTTAATTTTTTTTGAGAACTCGTATTTTTGTTCCAGAATCATCACAATATTGCAATTTTTGGATTATTTAAAACAATTCACTATATGTATTGAACAATCCCAAAACTGAAACGTCGAAAAATTGGAAAATCAAAAAATCGAAAAGCTGAGAAATAGGGAAATAGAAACTGAAAGATTGAAATATCAAGAAACCGAAACATCAAAAATTAGAAAGCCGAAAAATTGAGAAATCGAAAAATTGAAACATCGAAATCTGGATAAATCGAGAAATAGAAAAACTGAAAAATCGAAAAATTTGAAAACCAAAAAACTCAAAAGCGAGACGTCAAAAAATCGAGTAAAGAAACATTAAAAAAAGTGAAAAGTCTAAGATTTAAAAATTCGAAAAATTGAAAAATAGGAAAATCATCGAAAAATCGAGAAATCTAAATAACTAAAAACTAAAAATGAAAAAATCGAAAAATCAAGAAATTAGAAAGTCGAAAAATCGAAAAGTCAAAAAATCGAAAAGTCGAAAAATTTAAAAATCGACAAATTAAGGCATCAAAAAATCGAAAAATTGTAATATCGACATTAAAAAAAATTTTTAAATGAAAGCATTTTGAAAAATCGAAAATTCAAAAATTTTAAATAAACCGAAAATTGAAATAGTCGATAAATTGAAATCCGAGAAATAGAAAAATCGAAACAGCGAATAATCCCAGAAATTGAAAATTCCCAACATTGACATCCGAAGTCGAAAATTTTTAAAAATGGAAAAATCGAGATGTCGAAAAATCAAAAAATTTTAAAATTGACAAACTGAAAAATGAAAAATGTTAAATTTGAAAAACCTCAAATTGAAAAATCGAAAAACTGAAAAATAAAAAAAAACAAGAAATCAAAAAATTTCGACTCCAAGAAATTAAAAAAATAGAATACATATGAAAAAATTCAAAAACTTAAATATCAAAAAATTGATTGATGGATAAATCGAAAAATCAAAAACTTGAAGAATCGAAAAACTGAAACACCAAAAAACTGAAACAACAAACTGAGATATCGAAAAATGAAAAATCGAGAAATCGAAAAGTCTAAAAACTGAAAAATTAAAACATCGAACATTGAAATATAAAGAAATCGAAATCTCGATAAATCGATATCCCTGAAAAATCGAAAAACTTAATAACTGACAAATTAAAAAATAGGAAAATCGATAAACTGAAAAATAAAAAAAATGAGAAATCGAAAAATTGAAAAATCATACATCTCAAGCGTCGAACAATTGATCAATGGATAAATCGAAAAATCGAAAATTTGAAAAATAAAAGAAAAATTCAAGAATCGAAAAACTAAAAGATCAGAAAACTGAAACATCAAAAAACTGAGATATGGAAAAATTGGAAAATCGAGGTCTCGGAAAAGTAGAAAAATCTAATCTGAAAAATCAAAAACCTAAAAACCTAAATTTTGAAAAATTGGAATAACAACAATTAGAAAACTCAATTGAAATATCAAAACATCGAAAAAGAGACCAAAATCGAGAAATTAAATTTGAGAAATTGAAACATTTTAATTAAAAAAAAAACGAAAAATCGAAAAAAAACGACAAATTGAAAAACTGAAAACTGTAAAATTTAAGAAATCAAAAATGAAAAATGGAAAAACTGAAAAAAAACGAGAAATCGAAAAATTTTAAATTTAAGAAATCAAAAAAATTAAAATAGCAAAACTCAAATATCGGAAAATCGAAACATCGAACAATTGGAAAATTGGAACAAAGAGAAATCATAATATCAAGAGATCGAGTTATCGAAAAGTCGAGAAAGAGCCCAAAATCGAAAAATCAAAATTTGAGAAATTGAAAAATTTTAATTAAAAAAAAAACGAAAAATCGAAAAATTTAAAAACTGACGAATCGAAAAATTGAAAACTGTAAAATTTGAAGAATCTAAAATTGAAAAATCGAAAAACTGAAAAATGGAAGAACGAGATATCGAAAAATTTTAAATTTAAGAAATCAAAAAATTAAACTAAAAAAATTGAAAAATCCTCAAACTCAAATATCGAAAAATTGATCAATGGATAAATCGAAATATTGAAAAATCGAAAAACAGAAACATCAAAAAATTGAAAAATCGAAAAATTGAGAAACTGGAAAATCAAAAACCTGATAAAAAATTTAAAAATGGAAAAATCAAGAAATCGAGAAGTGGGAAAATCAAAATGTCAAAAAATCTAAAAGTGGAAAAATCAGGATATCAAAAATTCGAAAAATTTAGAAACGCCAAAAATTGAGATATTGAAAACTCGAAAAAGCTGAACAATCGATAATCTAAAAATTTGTAAAACGGAGATCTTGGAAAATAGACAAATCTAAAAATAAAAAATTGAGAAATCGAAGAATAAAAAAATTTAATAGCCCAAAAATGCAATGGCGAAAAATTAAGTCATCGAAAAATTGAAAATAGTGAAACTGAAAAATTGGAAAATCGAGGAACTGAAAAAAATGTTTTTAATTTCTTGCAAAGAAGTAGGTATTTTGCAGTTAAGCTCCGCCCCCTTGGCTCACGGCGAATAAAAAAAATCATAACAATTGAGATAGCGCGGGTGGGCGGGCTTACATTTTGCCTTTTTGTTTTAATATATGTAGACTTCTTTTCACAACATGAAACTTAAAACATTTGTAAAATGGAAAATTTGTATTAGGAAATATATATATTTCCTTGCAAAAATGTACCATTTTAACCATGTTCTAAGTTTCTTGTTGTGAAAAGATGGCTGTGTACATTAAGAAAAAAAGGCAAAATATTTCGAAAAACTTGATCGGGACCATCAACAAGCTATTTTTTCGATTGAGGAATAACTTTTCCAGAATTTTTTATAGATTTGTCAAGTACTTTTACCAATAATAGCTCAATTTTCCAATATTCCTTTTCGACTTTTTTTGGATCGTCTTCGACAATTACCTAAAACATTTTTTTTCTAGGTTTTTATAGCTAACTTTTTCTAAAGTCAATTTTTCATTATCTCCCTCATTGATTTTTTTTCATTTTCCCGAGCACCTTCGAAAATTAACGAAAAACTTAGTTTTCTTGCTTTCGACCCTCAGAAGTTTTTGCGTTCCATTTTTTTTTTGGGAACTCCTACTTTTTCTCCAGAATCGCCAAAATAGTGCAATTTTTGGGTTATTTAAAACAATTCACTCTGAAACCGTACACATGTTTTGAAAAACTTGATTCGGGACCATCAACAAGCAAATTTTTCAATTGAGGAAAAATTTTTCCAGAATTTTTTGTGTATTTTTCAAGTGCGTTTTTCGCCAATAGCTCAATTTTCCAATACTCTTTTTCGACTTTTTTGGAATCGTCTTCGAAAATTACATAAAGCATTTTTTTTCTAGTTTTTTATAGCAAACTTTTTCAGAAGTCAATTTTTCATTATCTCCCATATCGATTTTTTTCTCATTTTCCCGAGCACCTTCGAAAATTAACGAAGGACTTATTTTTCTTGGTTTCGACCTTCAGAAGTCTTTTCGTTCCATTTTTTTTTTTGAGAACTCCTACTTTTTCTCCAGAATCGCCAAAATAGTGCAATTTTTGGGTTATTTAAAACAATTCACTGTGAAACCGTATACATGTTTCGAAAAACTTGATTCGGGACCATCCACAAGCAAATTTTTCAATTGAGGAATCACTTTTCCAGAATTTTTTGTGTATTTTTCAAGTACCTTTTTCGCCAATAACTCAATTTTCCAATACTCCTTTTCGAGTTTTTCGGATCACCTTCGAAAATTACCTAAAGCATTTTTTTTTCTAGTTTTTTATAGCTAACTTTTTTAAAAGTCAATTTTTCATTATCTCCCTCATTGATTTTTTTTTCATTTTCCCGAGCACCTTCGAAAATTAACGAAAGACTTATTTTTCTTGGTTTCGACCTTCAGAAGTCTTTTCGTTCCATAATTTTTTTTTTGAGAACTACTTTTTCTCCAGAATCGCCAAAATAGTGCAATTTTTGGGTTATTTAAAACAATTCACTCTGAAACCGTATACATGTTTCGAAAAACTTGATACGGGACCATCTTGTTGATTTTTCAATTGAGGAATCACTTTTCCAGAATTTTTTGTGTATTTTTCAAGTACCTTTTTCGCCAATAGCTCAATTTTCCAATACTCCTATCCGACTTTTTTCGGATCACCTTCGAAAATTACCTAAAGCATTTTTTTTCTAGTTTTTTATAGCTAACTTTTTTAAAAGTCAATTTTTCATTATCTCCCTCATTGATTTTTTTTTTCATTTTCCGGAGCACCTTCGAAAATTAGCGAAAGATTTTCTTTATCGATTTCGACCCCCAGAAATTTTTTCGGTTTAATTTTAGCGAAAAATTTATTTTTGTAGATTTCGACCTTCAGAAGTTTTTTTCGATATCATTTTTTTTTTTAGGGGAAACTCCTTTTTCTTGCCTAAAGCAATTTTTTGTAGATTTTGTGCTTTTTCGAACCAAAAATTCCAAAATTGTCCAATGAAATATGAGCCGCCGTACGAATTACATTTGCGGTCACTGCCACGGTTACACCGAGTGATGCAATATCAGCTAAGACGAGCAGATTACGCAAAGTGCCGCAATTCATTTCTACCCGAGACGAGAAATCCGCCGAGCGACACAAGGATATACACTGAAATATTTCGCAAAATCACTTTAAACATGATATTTTAACTAGTGGTTGTATTTGTCTCTTTGTTTAACTAATTTGTACGTCCTGTATGTGGTAAATGGTCCTTTAAATAAAATAATAATCACTAGATAAATTAATGATTTTTAAAGCGATTTTGAAAAATATTTCAGTGTGGCTGATTTTTCTGCCGCTCATTGCTTGTACAACTCCTACAAATCTCAATATACAGAGTGTTTATAAAAATGATTTTTTTCAATTTTCGAATGTAAAGCAAATTTTAGATTTTTTTAATAAGCACTCTATGTATTATAGTTTGTTTTAATTGATAGTTATTTCTCCATAAAATATTCCTGTACAGATCTTAAAAATAGCAATATGGCGATTTTTTTGTGAACATTTGCACTGCTAAAAAAAATTCAAAAAAATTAGAATAATGTGGCAACGTTGCATCGAAATTTCAAAAATAAACTATGGTTTAGGTTCTGCAAAGAGACTAATAAGAATGTACAGAAATATGTAGGATGTGCTATAATCTATATAAAAGAAATAAGTTGTGTGCTCTTCCTCAAAAACAAAACGCTCTGTATGTTACTCAAAGTGCCGCATAACTTTAATTTCTGAATTTCTTTCTCTCTCTAACAATTAATTAAATATCCACCGTACTTAGTGGTTCACCCTGTATATTTTAAATTATTAAAAACTCCTTCCAGAATTATTTAACAGAAATGCTTGTCTTATAAATTGTATTTTTCCGATTTTATTATTTTACAACACCTCATACACATATTTTAATTTCGGGTGGAAATTCTTCGATTGTCTCAGTAAAAATAAAATAACTTGTAAGTTGTAGAACACTATGTGAACTGCTTTTTGGGAATCTTAATTATGAAAATCAAAATCGCCACTCAGATGCTAAAACTAAGAAAAATAAATATAACAATTTTTAAAATTTACAACTAAAAATTGCATTAGTTGGACAGCCATTTGATAACATCACACGATGACTTCAATGGAATATAAATAAAATTTTAAATTTCCACCACCGACGCTAATCAAAGCTCAGTTTCTAACTTTAATTATTATTATTATTTGATGTAGCTACCGTAAATGTAATAAATAACTCTACAAATCCGTTGACTAATTACCAAGAAACGACTTTCACTCAGACCATTTAAATTGGCGTAATTTAACATCACAAGTTAAATTCTGTACGGTGTTTAGAAAGCAGTCAAACCTTCATCTCCACATGCATTATGTACTTTGAAAGGTAGCTCTTTCTGGCAATTGCCTGATTTAGTTGTGTAAGTCCCACAAACACTATAAACTCTGCCCGGCGACATTTTAATCTGTAACCATCACTTTAATGAGACGCTGCCTTAATATCATGAATGCCAACTCAATGTAAACTTGTCTACTACATGTAATTTATGAAACAAATACCAGCAGAAGAATTATTCTTGGCACCATGCATAATGTCCTCGTTACGCCACATAAAACAAGTTAACTAATGAAAAATAATTCAAAAAATGCAACAAAACTAGCAGTTTAAAGATTACAAACGATTTCGACATTAGTAAGTCTCTTAGTAAAAAATCACTCATCAATCAAGCAAGAAAAAAGATCTCATAACAAAATATGCCGCAGATCTCTCCTTTGCAGCGTCCGTCCGTCGTAAAAAGTTTCGACGCCACTGACACCAACTAATTTAACAAATTTGAATAATTGCGGATTATACCATAACGTTATTAATCACCTGTCGTGAACTCGAGAGAGAGCTTAGCAGAAGTGGAATCATTAATAAGCCACAACACGTTGTCCATGTCGATGGATTCACAATGGATTCACAATGGGATTATGGTTTCAGACAAAGCCGCTGACTGTTATCAGTGCCGGCATGATATGGTTGCTGGCTACTGTCCTGGCTCTGCCCGACGCCATCCGGGCCAAAGTCCACGAGGTCCCTTTGTCCTCCACGTAAGAACCGCTTTAGTGTTGTTTTAAATACGACGTTCCACGCAAACTGAACCCTGACATCAACTTGTTAAAAATAGTACTTATTATTAGATCAAAAAATTAAGAAACCGTGAAAGTGGCGCAGTCTGCGTGGAATGACAGGTATGTTGAGCACGAACGTGGTCCGTTCATAAACTATGTATAACTAGTTTATCGCTGGAAATTGGATGTAATTTAACGGAAACGAGTGAAACTGAGGGTTTGATAAGGGTTGAGAAACGGAGGGATAAGCCTGCATCTTTGAATTATTGTTTTTTGGTTAAGGCGATCTTCGAGTTTTCCAAGGAAATAAGACAATGCGGAACCTGCTGTCTTAATAAAATGTAAATTCAACAAGACGGATACAAAGTGAGAAAGAAGTGGAGCAAACGTTTTAATTATATTTACGTTGAGTGCGCTGTATCCATTATGCCGGCGTTTTATTAACTACGCATTTTATTGTCGTGATTTTGTGTAAATTTGTACGGTTTTAATTGCAGGCACTTTGTGTGCTGGGAAGCATAATTGCGTTAATAAAAAATTTAGTCGCACGGGAAGCACTTAATATTAAAACAAATACTTTGAGATTGAATACACAGTGGAAAAAGTCATTGTCTGGGTTTAATAAAGTTTGCGTTGGGAAAATTATTGTAATTGGGTGGTCTTCAGGACAGTGTAATTTCACGGTTTTGTAAGGCTTCACAAATCATAAGATACCAATCTTTTGGTTTTCGTCCGTCCGACTGTCCGCCGGAAATTTATTAGACAATTACACAAACTACTGAAGCTATTCCAAGGAACTTTTAAGTGTGTCACACAAATCTTCAATTCTTTGGTCTATTTCGTGCTTAAATCAACGTTGTCACCGAAAAAAGTGGTCTGGATCTTAGAAGCGTGAGCCGTGCAGCGTAGGTCAAGGTTTTTCGTTTATAAAAAAAATTAGTGTTTAACACATTTAGATAGAATTAACAAGTTTTTCAGCTGACGTCAGCATAATTTAATTACCCGTACTCAGCCAGTGTCTATTATTGGAACGCACTTGCTTATGTTCGGTCTGGAGTGCACTTGTCCCTAGGAAACGGACAGGGGCGGCTCAAGAGTTGAGAATACATTTTTATGAACTTCAAATGTGGTCTCCTGAGTGTAATAACAGTACATAGTTTTCTCGATTTTTCTTAAATTCTGTTAATTTTTGCTTTTTATATAAAATTTTCAGATTTTTGTTTCGTTGTTTGTAATTGAGATCGGTTTATTTATTATAGATGAGTGAGAGGGGAAACCTTTTTTTCTCTCAGTTTCCTAATATTATTATTGCACTGTTTATAATTGAAAATAACTTTAGTGTATGATAGTTATTTAAAAAACCATACAACTCTAGTCTTTTAAAAAAACTTGGTCACGTTTATTATTGTACACAATTCTAAATGAGTTTAAAAATTAAAACCTACTAGATAAAAATAATAACAAGCAAACAAAAATTTTTTATGTCGTGCAACAGTTGACACTTACTACCTGTGTCGGACAAAGACAGAAACACAAAGATATTAGGCGTCTCCGTCTCCTCTTTACGGGTTTCCATAATCTCATAAACACCGTCTAATACAACAAAATGACATTTTTAATCATTTATTGTTAAAGTACAGATCTTGTAATGTTTATTTGCATTATAAGAATTCCAATTATAACTAAATTAAGTTTGTAAGAAAATGTTGTTTACACAGTTGTTGTTGTATTTTAGCTATAATTTTTATTAAAGCGATTGATTATTAAATGTTTTTGTCACACAACACATGTTTTAACAGTAAGAACAATCATTGAACATCGACAGAAGTTATTGGAGCAAATATTTGAACTCTCTATTATATATGGATCTACCGGGTGTCTGGAAAATGTCCGATTAACTCTTCAGTACGCTATGTACGGGGGTTTCGGGAGTCCTAAAAAACAATCAAAAAATTCTTTATAGTGTAGATTACGAAAAAAACCAAATTTTAGAAAAGTAAAATTGGCAACACTGCACGCACCCAATCCGTGAATACCTCAGGTTTACTTTCTGATTTCTTAGCAACGATGGTAACTAAACTCACCTTTTATTATTAATAAAAGAAGCTGTTATTTTTCATTAATAAATAAACAAAAAAAAACATTTAATAAGGCATTTATAAATTATAAACAAAAACAGAACCAACAAAAGAGAAAAAAATGTTAAAAACTGCTCCCTTGTTCAAATAAGTAAGTTCGTACTGTTTCCAAATTTTGATCTTTTTTTTTTTGTAAGTTAGTCCTCAGTACTTGCTAAGATAAAACTGATTTTGGCAATGACATACTCTCTAAGAAAAGACAGGGTGGGTGGGCGGGGCTAGTAGCTGCTAAGATAAAACTGATTGTGGCAAATGAGATACCTTCTAAAAGAAGAGAGGGCGGGTGGGCGGGGCTAGTACCTACTAAGATGAAACTGATTTTGGCAAATGACATATCCTGTAAGAAAAGCGAGGGTGGGTGGGCGGGGCTAGTACCTGCTAAGATAAGAGTGATTTTGGCAAATGGCGTATCCTATAAGAAATTTAATCAAGTTGTTACAAGAACAGACACTAGAGGCTCCAAAGCACTTTCAAATTCTTTCCAAACAGGAATACCTAGAACCTCAACATTGTTTCAAATTTTTCAAAGAAAAAAAACGGGGTCCAAAATGAACTCAAAAACAGATCAGGTCAGAATTTTCTGAAAATAGAACATCAAAATCCACAAAATTTAACGGATTAACTCTCCGCTACGCTCGTAACAATGAACAGGTCAGTCTGGGAAAAATAGTAACAAAAAATTCTTCTCACATTTTAGTGGAGTTATAATGATTTTAAAATTGGTTCTTTTGCTACGTTTAACAATTAAACAATACATCCATTATCACAACAACTAGTAATAAAACTTTTACTTAATATTTCTCTGGCCCATGTACATGTTTGATTATCATATCAATTAGAGTGTTCAAAGATATGGTTGTTTTGTTTTGTAATAATTTGATAAAATTCCATTTGACAACAATGTTTGCCTGATATAAAGCGAATGTACAAATCAGCAAAAATCGAGTCAGAAGTTAAAAATGTTTGACGAATCAAAAATTGTCAAAATTCTCAAAATCCTACGTTCAAAATGTCCACAATTTATTTTAGGTGTTTTATTTTCGAATAAATTTAAACGAATCTGATGTTTTGTTGATGGATGAATTTGAAAAAATCTTTTGAGCTTTTAGTGTTTTATTTATTATCAATTTGAAAAAGTCTTGAGTGCCGCAGTATTTTTCTTTTTAATTCGGGAGACTCTGGGGTAACCATGGTGTATTATTTTGGGACCCCACGGAGTTTTTTTTTAATTACTTAAAACCATTTTGGGGGACTTTGGTGTTCTATTTTTGGAAAATTCTGACATGATCTATTCTTGAGTTAATTTTAGGGCTCGGTTTTTTTTGAAAAATTTAAAACAATCTTGAGGTTCTAGGTACTTTTGTTTGGAAAGAATCTGACAATGCTTTGGAGCTTGTAGTGCCTTTTTTATAATAATTTAATTAAATTTCTTAGAAACTAGGTGATCTGCCAAAATCAGTTTTATCTTAGCAAAGACTAGCCCCGCCCACCCGCCCTCTATTTTCTTAAAGTGTATGTGATTTGCCAAAATCAGTCTTAATAGGTACTAACACCACCCACCCGCCCTCTGTTTTCTTGTTGGTTATGACATTTGTCAACATCAATCTCAAATTAGCAGGTACCAACTCCCAGCCCGCCCACCCGCCCTCTATTTTCTTAGAGGAATCTCATTTGCCAAAATCAGTCTTATCCTAGCTAGTAGCTGCTAAGATAAAACTGATTTTGGCAAATGACAGACCCTCTAAGAAAAGAGAGGGTGGGTGGGCGGGGCTAGAATCTGCTAAGATAAGACTGATTTTGGCTAATGAGATACCTTCAAAAGAATAGAGGATGGGTGAGCGGGGCTAGTACTTGCTAGGATAAGATTGATTTTGCCATATGCGATCCCTCTAAGAAAATAGAGGGCGGATGGGCAGGGTGAGTATCTCCTAAAATAAGAACGATTTTGGCAAATGACATACCCTCTAAGTAAAGAGAGGGTGGGGCTAGTACCTGCCAAGATAAGACTGATTTTGGAAAATGAGATCCCTCTAAGAAAAGCGCGGTGGGCGGGGTAGTACCTGCTAAACTAAGATCGATTTTGGGAAATGACATACCCTCTAAGAAAATAGAAGACCGGTGGGCGGGGCTACTACCTGCTAAAATTAGTCGCTTCTTAACAGGCACTAGCCCCACCCATCTATGCTGTCTTTCCTCAGAAGGTATCTCACCCAAAATTAGTCTTATCCTAGCAGGTACTAGGAACGCCCACCCACCCTCTCCTTTTGGAAGCCCATGCAAATTTTTTTTGTAAATTATTTAAAACCATTTCGGGAGGCTTTGGTGTTCTATTTTAGGAAAATTCAGACCTCAGCTGTTTTTGAGTTAATTTTAGGACTCCATTTTTTTTGAAAAATTTTAAACAATCTTGAGTTTCTAGGTATTTTTGTTTGGAAAGAATCTAACAATCCTTTGGAGCCTGTAGTGCCTTCTTTATAATAATTCAATTAAATTTTTTAGAAACCAGGTCATTTGCCAAAATCAGTATTATCTTAGCAGGTACTATCCCCGCCCACCCGCCCTCTCTTTTCTTAAAGTGTATGTCATTTGCCAAAGTCTATCTTAGATTAACAGATACTAGCCCCGCCCACCCGCCCTCTATTTTCCTAGTGGTTATGACATTTCCCAACATCAATCTTAGGTTAGCAGGTACTAACTCCCAGCCCGCCCACCCACCTTCTATTTTCTTAGAGGAGTCTCATTTGCCAAAATCAATCTTATCCTAGCTAGTAGCTGCTAAGATAAAACTGATTTTGGCAACTGACAGACCCTCTAAGAAAAGAGAGGGTGGGTGGGCGGGGC